ACAATGATTGCTACATCTTTGAAGTCAGTTGATTGCTTGCCTTTCATTGCTTTAACCAAGGCATTTTTAAGAACAGGACCAGTGAGCCTTGTGTCCTCTTGGAATCTTCTCCTTAGGAATGTAGATTTTGACTTTTTAGAGTATCTTAATGACATGGCTCATTTACCTCCTTGCAAACCAAAAATCAAGGTCATGTTATTGGTTATAAAGGTCAAGTTCTTTTTACCAATTGTGAATGCTTTTGTTTTTTCATTGTAACATTGGATTATTGCAACTACATCATCATCAGATTTCCTTGGATCTATCCTTCTAGTGGTTAGAGCTTGGATCAAATACCAGAATGGGGTCTTTTGAAGCTCTACAAGTTGGTTTGAATTGAATTGAAGTGTTTGAAAAAAGGAAACAACAGATGAGAGGTTGGATCGGTATTGAATACTGTAGTGAGCTCTCTTTCTTTGGAGTTTAACAGGTTTTTTCCCCCTTGAGCTTGAGCTTGTTGCAGTTGGGGTACTTATCTTGATGCTAGTTGCTTCATCACCGTGGACTTGTGTGTTTTGGCAAGGAGTTTGTGGTGTTTTACTGCTGGTTTTTTTATCTTAGATCATAAGAAGACCGAGAGAGTTTCTGTTTCTTGGTTGGCGTTTCCGGTGTTTTGCTGTTGGTTTTTGATCTTAGAACATAAGAAGATTGAGAGAGTTTCTGTTTCTTGCTTGGCGTTTCCGGTGTTTTGTTACTGGTTTTTGATCTTAGATTATAAGAAGACTGAGAGAGTTTCTATTTCTTACTTGGTGTTTCCGGTGTTTTGCTACTTTTATATTTTGCCATTCTAGACAATGATGAAAACATAAAGATGTCAACATTAAATCCCAGATAAAATTAAACATGCCAAAGAAAATTGGACATGCTAGAGAAAATTACACATAAGGGAGAAAACTAAGGTGGCTAGGAAAAATTATAAATGTTAGACAAAATCAGACACTAAAAATTAATTGTCAGAGTACTAATTGTTTTTCTGTGGAATACATCTAGCCACAGAAAATCTCCATTGCCAGAGAAAATCAACAAAGCATCGTAAACATGGTAGAGAAATTTTCAATAATTGTTAAAATTACATATAGAAGTAAAATATAGCCAGAGAAAATTGAAAAAAGAAACATATATCTAGCATGCACAGAAAATGAATGACAGAGAAAAGTAAACATGGCAAGCCAAAGAAAATTTCCATTCCACAATTAGCAAGATAAAATAAACAAAGTAATGTAAACATGCTACTGAAAATTATACCACATTGAAACCAAGAATTGAACAAAATAAACGTACCAGAGAAAATTACACATTCAACATGGGAGAGAAATTTTCAATAATTGTTTAAATTACAGATAGAAGTAAACATACCAGAGAAAATGAATGATAGAAAAAAGTAAACATGGCAAGTGAAAGAAAATTTCCATTCCACAATTAGCAAGATAAAATAAACAAAGTAATGTAAACATGCCATTGAAAATTATACCACATTGAAACCAAGAATTGAACAAAATAAACATACCAGAGAAAATTACACATTCCGAAGAAAATTACACATTCTTGAGAAAATTTTCATTCCAGAGAAATTTTGAAGTCCATAATATTAAAATGCCAGAAAAATTTACATATACAACCAGAGAAAATTAAACATGATAGAGACACACAAGGGAGAAAAGTGATGTGGTCAGAGAAAATTATAACTTAGACACAGACAAGAGAGTAATAGACATTCCAGAGAAAAATACATATTCCAAAGAAATTTACAAAGCAGAGAAATTTATAGACAAAATCACAGAAACATGTTCAAGAATAAGACCAAAACACAGAGAAATAACTTTTTTTCAAAATAAACATGTCAGAGAAAATTCAAAGAAGAAACATACATTCCAGGCCATAATATTAAAATGCCAGAGAAATTTACATACACAACCAGAGAAAATTAAACATGATAGAGACACACAAGGGAGGAAAGTGATGTAGTCAAAGAAAATTATAAATACCAGAGAAACTTAGACAGAGACAAGAGAGTAATAGACATTCCAGAGAAAGATAGACATTTCAATTAAAAATACATATTACAGAGAAATTTACAGAGCAGAGAAATTTATAGACAAAATCACAGAAATATGTTCAAGGATAAGATGAAAACACAGAGAAATAGTATTTTTCAAAATAAACATGCTAGAGAAATTTGAAAGAAGAAACATACATCAAGCAAAAATCAGAGAAATTCAAATGTCAGAGAAATTTACAGATAAAATCACACCAACATGTTCATAAATAAGTTCAAAACACACAGAAATAAGTTTTTTCAAATTCATGTAGTTTTTTATTACGAAATTGAAACCCTAATTTATAGAAGGTTAATATAAAATGTAATTAATTGTATTTTCAGAGAAAATCTAGTTGTGTTGTAGAAAAACTTGCCAGAGTTAGAATAAAACTTTAATGACAAGCTGATATATCCTGAGATGAAAATGCGACGTGACGAAGATGAACTGAGATGACGATGAACAGTGAAAACGAGGTCACAGAAATTTGTGAGGAAGGAATGGGAATGATTTTTGCAGAAGATAACGAAGTTCTAATGTCGATGGTGAAGATGATATTGAAACCCTAGTTCTGTTGTTCTGTTGTTCGTGAAGATGGTTGGATGCTTGGAATGGAACTCAGTCGTCGGAATCAGTTTCGTCTTTATGTTGATTTTGTGAAGGGTATTTTGGTCCATGAAATAATTAAAAATGCGCGTCATGTTGTTCAAGAACCTAATGCATCACTTTTTTTTTTTTTTGGTGTCCTTTATCCTCTAAATTACTATCATTAGGGACCTTAAAAAAAATTCCCCTTGAACATGCTATTGTTCAATTTTAAGAACAAAATCGTCAATTTGATAAAAGATAAACTAATTTGACAAAAATAAATGTCAAAAAAATATTATTTGAACTTTTAAAAATAATTTCTACTCACCAAAAATAAAATTATATAAAATTGATAAATTTTTAGACATTTATTTATTTTATTTTATTACCAAATTAATATTTATTATGTGTTTACATAATGATCATGTAATTTGCCCTTAAAAATTCCTAAGTTATAGAAACCGTTAGTATAATTTACCTTTAAAAATATGTAATGAACTGAAGTGTAGGCTTCATTTGGGAAGTGGGTTGATTTTTTAGCTTTTTAGTTTTTTTGACTATTTTAGCCTACAGCTAAAAAACCTAGTTTGAGAAAGACTTTCGGCTTTTTTATGAGATAAAGAATGTAATGATTATACATTAGATGTGATGTTTTGTTTTATTAAATTAAAAAGCTTATTTTATTTTTTGTGACTATTTTAATCAAAAAAATCACAAAACCTTCTCCCCAAACATAGGCTTGTAATTTTCTCGAATTGATTCATGATTCAGGAAGGTTAAGAATGCAGATACCAAATACAAATATTCAGAAAGGGTAAATTTTAGAATCCACCCCTTATGAGATATCAGTGTTGCATTTTGTGTTTGACGTACATGCACTTTGTCTTATTGCTCGGGATTAGATCAATGAAAATATGGAAAAGGAAAAAGAACAAATCAAAATGAAAAATGTTAGGAACCACCTTTATGGAGATTGAAAATATGAAAAAGGAAAAAGAACAAATCCAAATGAAGAATATATTTGTGTAGTGAATATTGAATTGATGAAATGTGGAGTTCACATATGAAATGAATTTGAGTCATTAATTTCTTTTTTTAAATAAATTCTGAATTGATAAAGGTGAATTTGTAATATTATTGAATCAAAATTTATTAACCATATCCAAATTGTCATCAAACACCACTTATTATATTTTTAATCTATGGTGTTTACATACATAAATTTCTTATGAGATTTAATAAATAAATAAATACAATTACTTTCATATTTTTAACTTAATTATATTAATTTTTTTAGTAAAATTAAATGGGTTAAATTAACACAAATAGTGAGTAGATATTAAAATATATAAAAATAAACTTACATTTTAGTTTAAAAAGAGATGATAATATTATTTTTTTATTCATACAACTAATAAATTATAGATTAAAAAAATTTAATTATTATGTAAATTAAAATTTCAAAGGATATTAATATAATATAATTATATCGACTAACTATTTTTTTTTTTTTTTTTTATCAAATTTGGAATGGTGTGTAATTTTATCTAAAAGAAATTACCAATTATAATATTTTCAACGAAATTAAAAAAAAAAAGTAGCTAAAAATATTTACATAAATAAATAAAAAATATATCAAGATAAAATACAATTTCATCAATCATTTGATTATATCATTTAGGTAGGGTTGAGAATTTGGCATGGAACTCAAATACACGTAATTAAAGCATTATGATTGATCCTTTTTGACACAAATTTGATTATGACACATCACAATAATACGAATAGTAAATGGATTGTGTTAAGATTGAACACACATAACTCAAATATAATATATTCGACCCGTATAATAATTTATGTCAACATGTTGATATGAACCCAATATTAATCCGCAAATAACCCAAATACTACTTTAATCTAGTAGTCAATGGTTTATGCTTAGCCATTAAATTAAATTTCGGTATTTCAAAAAACACTTGCTTTGTTTTTAAAGATTTGTTGAATATTTGGATATTAATGTTCAGAATTCATATTAGGGTTAAGAATGATGGATTTGGGTGTCAATAGTTGACTCACATTCAGAAGCAACCTCTTCAATCTAGTCATGGCTCCAACTTAAGCCATACATTCCCCACACAGGTTTGTAGCCAGCTCTTATGGGGTTTTCATTTTAGGTTAGGTGTTGATTACTAACAGTGTTGATTACTAACTAACCAACCACTCCAAGTAGGCAAGTAATGCAATAGTTATATCATTCACTCAAAAGACTCCCCACAGCATATTACTAGATTTCAATATTGAACCAAAGACACAATCTCATGATCAAGAGACAGGAAATTTATCAAACTCATATATTAATTGGTGTAGTAAAACTATACGCATCTTTAATATATTGCATTAATATGTTTCATCAACAAATAGTAATAATTTTATGTAGACCAGTAACGTAAAACCACAATCGTTTGCATTATAGTATCAACTTGTCATGTCATAGTCGTCTTCCTGCAAATATGGATTGTAGCTCCCTGACGCTTCCATCTTTCCAATCAAGTGGTCGATTCCTGCAATCATCAATGAATAGGTAATTAAAAGTTATTTACCAAACTTGGGTTATTTGAAAACTTGTTTCTCACGTTTATGTTGTTTTTAACTCATTTCCTAAGCCCATGTTACTTCTATTTTCAAAACACGGTTTTATGAAATAACTTAGGTTTGAGAAATAAGTTAAAACCACCTAGCATTAAAAAAATAAGATACCAAACCATATTTCTTAAACAATAGAAATAGTACCAAAAATAATAAGTTTCTCCATCATGCAAGATGATATCCTTGTTGTACTTGCACTCAATGTAACAAGAGTTACTGAAGGTCAAAAAAGTTATATCAGAAGCATAATATATCTCACGCTGTAAAGCAGCAAAAGGTATGGATAAAAATATAGGTTGTGTTTGGTAGACTTTTAGAATTATGATTTGAGAATAGAGTTGTATTTTGAGTTTGTGAGTTTTTGAATTATGATTTGAGTGTGGAAAATTTGTTTGGTTATAAATTTTGAACAGAGTTTGAAATGAGTGATGTGACATATAATATTGAAAAGTGAGTGTTTTGAAAAGTAGATGTAGAATTAATTTTCTAAAGCTATAACCAAACAACACACTCAAACTAAATGAGTAGAATTAATCTTCAAAAACTCTACCAAACAGAGCCTAGAATCTCACTTTAGTCTATGATTTTCCAATTGAAATAGTCAACTAGCAATGTGGCCCTTCTGTCCATTTTCTGTTAAATAGGCTAACAGAATTTCCAATCTAAGGTTCACATAAGTAGCTTTGAGGGCAAACATAGAATTTCAACGAGTGAGGGACATGAAATTTTCACAAGGCTGACAGAGAGAGGCCTACTCGTCTACCCTCACCCTATGGATAGCCCGCACCCATCTTCTCCCCCTTATCCCAGAAATTCAATCCCTTCCCTACTATCCACAGCCACACCAACGTCCCTTTCTCCACCACCACGAACTTCCCACTTCCCCTCTGTCCCAATCCCAACCTAAGCCACCGCCATTGGCCCAGCTTCAATCTCACATTGCCCAAACCACTGACCAAAAAGAACCCCCGCACCATAGCCCAATGTTTTGATTTTCAGGTATGACAAGCAGGCCAATGATTATTGTTCGTTGTCAACACTAATGGGTTGCAATCGGCACCAACTACTCTGATTTCTGCCGCCCCCCTAGCTCTACAGTTATGCCATTGGGGTCATTGATAAGCAATCCTAGACACTGAAGTAGTTCCTATTTCGTCCATCATAGAGGAGAGGAGGAGTAGAGAGGGGAAATGGTGGGATGGGTTGTTGGGGTGGATTGGGAGGTGCATATTAGGGAAATGGGCGTGGCATTGGGTGTGGAGTTGAATGAGACAGTGAGTTTGAATGCAAAAGGGATAAATTGTAACCATTTGTGAAATACAGAGACAAAATTACATTTTTACCCTTTAAAGTGCACATGAGGGTCATGTGCCATTTTATGTCACACTATTTAATGGAAAAACGTATGGAAGGATTAAATTGCTAGTTAACCAGAAGTGAAAGAAATTGACTGTTTCAATTGAAAACCGAAATACTAAAGTGGGATCCAGTGTAAAGTGCAACGGTGCAAAGAGTAATTTACCAATGAAAGTAATATTGAAACGAGCAAAAAAGATTTTTAATTCTCCTACCGTTCTTTTCTGAACCTATCTAAAAGCTCTCTAAATATCTCCACATGGAAGTAGTGCAGAACTTTGTCAGCACATTTCAATTTATAGTTCTAGTAACTCTCCCATTAATGATCACATCAAATTGTGCTTCTATAGCCTAAAACCTTTCAAACAGTAAAAACTACACAAGCCGGGAGAGTACGTAATCTGAGTATGCAAAACAAACACATTTGACATGAACCTTTGGCATGTTAATATGAATGACAACAAATTAAATAAAGAAGGGACAAATTCAATTTAAGAGACAGGATATGAAGACGGAAAGATATATATAAATGAAAATTTGAGTAAAGAAGTGCTGCAGACAACAAAAGTGCCACAGCCAGAACTAGATTTCATTCAAGAATAATGTGCTACAATGATAAAACAAAAATAAATACATAAGAGAGAAACAAAGAACAAAAGAAGTGCATAGCCAGAAATAGTAATTGTGATATAGCTTGTTAAGTTGACTCGTAAAGAAAGTCAATGCAATTAGAATGTGTTGAGTGTCTGTGCATGTGTGTTAGTAAGTTAGTAACTGATCACAAGTAAAAAGGATGAATCAAAATTGAACAAACTGTAATATAATCACAAACATGGAACTTAAAAAAAAAAGAAAAAGAAAAAAGAGTTAAAAAAGAACTTTGAACATGAATAAAACATTTTCTTAATTACTCCAACTACTACATGCATCAACTTATATAAATAATAGTTCAGAGCATGAGGTCCATCAGAATCAATCTGTGTTGCATGATTGGCCAGTAAAAAGAAATCAAATGCTCGAAGGATATACATACTTGGGTTTGATAGCATGCTATCATAGAAAGAAATTTGTCCCAAACTCCTTTCTGGTTTTGAACTGCCATTTGATGGAAACATAGGCTCTCCTTTATTGGACTTCGAATCTAAAGAACGCATCCCAGAGCTTATTTCAGGGTTTTGGAAGCACAAATCCTCAGCCCTTGGAGCTGGGTTATGTTGAGACTCGAAATCCTCTGACTTTGTCTTCTTTCCATCGGGTGATTCAACCTCTGTCTCCACTTCTGATTCTGCATTGTTTGGTGCTGCAACATGCTGCTTCCTTTTTGATCTAGCACGCCTGTTCTGAAACCAATGATAGACATTTGACTCGGAAATTTGGCCGTGTTGAGACAAATCAGAGGTTATGTCTTTGATCTTCTGCTTGCTTGGTGTCCCATTACCTTGGTCAAATAAACGTTCAAGAATTTGAAGTTGTACAGGTGTTGGAGTCCACCGTTGTCTGCCACTAATCTTGTGGCCAACATATGTCATTAAGGGGTCACAATATAGATTTCCCAACCTGGCTCCTGAGAAAGCAAGAACAAGATTTTTATAGTAAGTTAAAAAAAAGCTTAATATTTACCAAAAGAAAATCAGTCATTTTACGAAAAAAGAGGAGAAAAAAACACCATGTTAAGAGTTTCCTCCCATCTTTAGGATCTTTATGTTAAGAATAATGTTAACAAACACAACTTCTATTCAAAATTTCTATACAAGATGTGTGACTCATTGTTGTCTTCCCATTTCAGATAAAAGACGCTTCATAATTTCAAAAATGCCACTGCCACTGCACATTATTTTGGATGGGATTTGTGTATGAAAATTCTGTTTGAGCACCATTTTCCTTACGGTAAGGGAGAAAAGCGGGAGGAAGGATCTATAGCATTTTCTTCATTTGGTAGAAAGGAAAGAAGGGAAAAAGCAATTTTCCTCCAGCCGTGATGAAGGTTAAGCCCCTCTCTTCCTCTTCTTCTTCTTCTTCTTTTTTGACATACACGGGTTCTTTCTTTCTTTTTAATGTTTTTGACATTCAAACATCATCGTTCCTTTGATATGCACGGGTGCAAATAAATTAAACCTTTCTATCACCTTTGCTTTCCTTCCTAATCAATCAAACAAATAGAAGGAGATAAAGGCAACTTCCTTGCTCCAAGGATGCCTAGCTTTCCTCCCTTCCAATTTTTTAATCCCTTGTAATTGTAACAATCAAAGCATAAATACACAAATATCAACCAATTAACTTCTCTAACCAAAACCTAAAGAACAAATACAAGGTGAAATCAACTAAAATGAGTTTAAAAAAAATACAATAAACAATAATACCCACTAAGGATTATATAACCAAAATATATAGTTTTTTCAGAAAAAGAAAATCCAAATAATTGGCATGAGAAAACTAATATAAACAATCGACAACAAATTAGCTTATCATCATTCAAATAATAAAAAATAAAAAAATAAAAAATAAATAGAATATGTAGAAAATAACATGATACAAATTAAAAATACAAAAGATTACAATGACCTTCCTGAGATTTGGAGAAAATACGCCAAACTCCCTAATTTTGGTATAATTACATTGGATTTCCTTGATATTTTAATTTAAGGAACACTAAACTCATTTTTCATCAATAATCTGTTAGTTGTATGGATGAAAAAAATAATGTTATCATCTCTATTACACTGAAATGTATATTTACTCTTACACTATGTTTGATTGGATGAATTAGAATATGGGATTGGGATTATTAATCCGTGGGCCCAATTATCCTATGTTTGTTTTAACATTTTGGTTTAGGATTATTAATCCAATGGATAATTAATCCAACAAATTTGTAGGATTATTAATAAGGGGATAGGGGTAGGATTATTAATCCAATGGATAATTTATCCTATTAATCCAATTGGATAGTGAATACTACACTAATTTTGATAGTATTATTAATACCTCACTATTAGTCTTGTGAATCAAACATGGCCTTATTGTCCTTGTGTCTTTCTTTGCACTATTTGCATTAATTTTGGATCATTTAGCATTACTAAAAAGGGTTGGTGTAATTTAGCATTACTCAGTGTAATTTACCCAATACAAAAAGTCCAACCCTAGTCATTCAAACCCAACCCAACCCAACCCACATGCAAAGTCAAGTAATTGAAATTCAAATATTACTAGAGTTTTTGGGTTTTGACCCTTGTTCTTTGTACTTGTTTTGTGTTTGAATAAAATTATACCTTACCTTTAAAAAAAACAAACATAGTGGCTAAAAAAAACCTAAAATAATAAAAATTGTACAATACTTGACGGAGAGGGGAACAAAGAAGGCTTGAAACCTGCCAAGAGGAATCACTGGATACAAAATGGCCCAATCAAATAAATTCACAATATTTAACTATAATCACCAAAGGATTGTGAACAAAAAGAAGTAAGGCTTAATTAAACATAATTCCCAACACTATCACCAAAATCTCACTTTGATCCAAACAAATTTTCACCCCATTTTTTGCTAATTGTTTGAAAATGTGTATTATTAATCAACGATTGACATCATTCCAAACAAATTTCAAGAACTAGTGAAAACAATTGCGCAATAAAAAATAAATAAAAATATATGGAATTATTAGGAAATTATTAAAATGGAAAGGAAAGGAATGAAAAGAGGTAACTGACAGGAACAAATTAGGTAAGAATTCAAATTCTTTGACCAATAAAAAGATATATTAAAAAAAATGAGAACATTTTATATTACATAATAAAAGAAAAGGTAAAAATTCCAAATAATTTATTCAATTCATAATTTTTTTTTAATTATTGAAAAATAAAAGTAGGGTTATGTTATGTTGTTCATATTATTATAGAGAAATGGAAAAGCAGGAGAAACACGAACAGCACAGAATTATAGTTATCCTTGAGACATTTTTAAGAGAGACACAGAGAGAGAGAGAGAGAGAGAGAGAGAGAGAGAGAGAGGTACCAGTGAGATCGGAGTGAGAAGAGAGGGATTTGTGCATTTGGACGAGCTGGTCACAAATGGCTGCGTAAGCAGCGATTTGCTTGCGGAGAATCTCCAATTGCTCGTCAGTCATCACCTTCACAAATACCCCATTGTTGTTGTTGTTGGTGGTGTTGCTGCTGCTATTCATCACTTCATCTTGACGTTGTTGTTGGTTTTGTTGCTTTTCCCAATCCATAATCTTGCTTTTTTGCTTCGTTTCACAGCTCTCTCTCTCTCTCTGTCTCTCTATCTGTGTGTGCGTGATAAGTAAACAGAGTCTGTCTCTCTGTCAGAGTACAAGAGTAACGAGAAAGTAAAGAAAATGGAGACGGTAATAAAGACGCGGACAAAACCGGATCATAAATCACAATAATAATATCTTGGCCATAAAGCGCCGGTCCGTATGTGCCAAAAAAAAATGATGGGAAATGTTTGGGATCTTTGGAGATGGCTCCATAATTTTGGTATAATTACATTGGATTTCCTTGATATTTTAATTCAAGGAACACTAAACTCATTTTTCATCAATAACCCGTTAGTTGTATGGATGAAAAAAATAATGTTATCATCTCTATTACACTGAAATGTATATTTACTCTTATTGTTTCTTTGCACTATTTTGCACTATTTGCATTAATTTTGGATCATTTAGCATTACTAAAAAGGGTTGGTGTAATTTAGCATTACTCAGTGTAATTTACCCAATACAAAAAGTCCAACCCTAGTCATTCAAACCCAACCCAACCCACATGCAAAGTCAAGTAATTGAAATTCAAATATTACTAGAGTTTTTGGGTTTTGACCCTTGTTCTTTGTACTTGTTTTGTGTTTGAATAAAATTACACCTTACCTTTAAAAAAACAAACATAGTGGCTAAAAAAAACCTAAAATAATAAAAATTGTACAATACTTGACGGAGAGGGGAACAAAGAAGGCTTGAAACCCGCCAAGAGGAATCACTGGATACAAAATGGCCCAATCAAATAAATTCACAATATTTAACGATAATCACCAAAGGATTGTGAACAAAAAGAAGTAAGGCTTAATTAAACATAATTCCCAACACTATCACCAAAATCTCACTTTGATCCAAACAAATTTTCACCCCATTTTTTGCTAATTGTTTGAAAATGTGTATTATTAATCAACGATTGACATCATTCCAAACAAATTTCAAGAACTAGTGAAAACAATTGCGCAATAAAAAATAAATAAAAATATATGGAATTATTAGGAAATTATTAAAATGGAAAGGAAAGGAATGAAAAGAGGTAACTGACAGGAACAAATTAGGTAAGAATTCAAATTCTTTGACCAATAAAAAGATATATTTTAAAAAAATGAGAATATTTTATATTACATAATAAAAGAAAAGGTAAAAATTCCAAATAATTTATTCAATTCATAATTTTTTTTTAATTATTGAAAAATAAAAGTAGGGTTATGTTATGTTGTTCATATTATTGTAGAGAAATGGAAAAGCAGGAGAAACACGAACAGCACAGAATTATAGTTATCCTTGAGACATTTTTAAGAGAGACACAGAGAGAGAGAGAGAGAGAGAGAGAGAGAGAGAGAGAGGTACCAGTGAGATCGGAGTGAGAAGAGAGGGATTTGTGCATTTGGACGAGCTGGTCACAAATGGCTGCGTAAGCAGCGATTTGCTTGCGGAGAATCTCCAATTGCTCGTCAGTCATCACCTTCACAAATACCCCATTGTTGTTGTTGTTGGTGGTGTTGCTGCTGCTATTCATCACTTCATCTTGACGTTGTTGTTGGTTTTGTTGCTTTTCCCAATCCATAATCTTGCTTTTTTGCTTCGTTTCACAGCTCTCTCTCTCTCTCTGTCTCTCTATCTGTGTGTGCGTGATAAGTAAACAGAGTCTGTCTCTCTGTCAGAGTACAAGAGTAACGAGAAAGTAAAGAAAATGGAGACGGTAATAAAGACGCGGACAAAACCGGATCATAAATCACAATAATAATATCTTGGCCATAAAGCGCCGGTCCGTATGTGCCAAAAAAAAATGATGGGAAATGTTTGGGATCTTTGGAGATGGCTCCACACTCTTAGGTTCCGTTTAGCGAGTGCTAAATGAGATTTTTTTGACTATTTTAATCACAAAAGATAAAATAAGTTATTTTAATCACAAAAAATAAAATATCACATTTAATTTATAATCATTACATTTTTCTCTCACAAAAAAAATTAAAAAAGTCAAAAAATTAAAAAGTCATTCCCAAACCAAACTTTTTAACCCAAACTAAAATAGCCAAAAAAATTAAAAAGTCAAAAAGCCAACCCACTTTCCAAACATAGGCTTAAACTGATTTTAGCCTCTTAGGTATGTGTAAGACTCATTTATATGTATACGTGGAGCTTACATTAGGAGTAGTTTAAATTTGTAGGAGCCTTGTAAGTTTGAGAGTTTCAATCATTATTTTAAAATGATTTAGGGTGGTGGTAGAAACGTGGTTAAAAGTTTTTTTATTTTTATTTTTAAAAAAATATATATAAAAAAATAGAGAGGTGATATGTTTTTAAAAAAATTAAATAGTTAGTTTTGGGGTTTTTAATCTAATTGTCAAAATGACCCTTTTGGCCAGAATAAAGTTATACGCCTCTATTGACATATTAATTAATGTATTATTAGATGATATGGGATAATTTTAAAATTTTTGAATGTTTATAGTTTATACAATGGGTAAGGTCCATAGTTTTGAGTGATAATATCAAATAGTGCATGTAGTATCACTGTTTTGGCAATTAGGAAAAAAAAGTCAATTTATTAGATTTTTTTTTTAAAAAAAAAGTCGTATAAAAAAGTAGAGAGGTGATATGACTCAAATAATCCAATAAGTTGATTTTTTTTTTATAATTATCAAAACAGACCTTAATAAATAAATTTGATAACAGCAATGTTATATTTACTTAAATTCTTATTAGTAATAATTTTGTTAAAAATATACATGTTTAAATATCAGTAGACTTTAAATATCATTAGTTTAAGCTTCGTTTGAAACTTGATTATTTTAAGTAAATTTTTGACTTTTTAGAAAAATAATTATAAAAAATAAAGAGAATAGTTAGCTTTTAATAACTTTTTGATTATTTTTTCACTTTCCAAACAACCCCTAGCTCTCGTTTGGAATAAACTAATTTAGCATAAATTTTTTACTATTTTTGCTTGGCTAAAAAAATTGTGTTTTGAATAAATTTTGATTTTTTTTATAGTTAATTTGATGGATGTGAGAGAAAAAGTAAAATATTTATGGTTTGAATGTGATATTTTTATCTTATTGATAATTAGTTTGTTTGTCTTTTTTGACTAATTTAATCAAGATAGCTTATGTCAAAGCCAACTTCCCAAATGAGGTCTTAACTTTCGTTTGGCATTGGCTAATATAGCTAATTTTTTTGTGTTGAGACTTTTTTAGTCTGGCTGTTTTAGCCTCGTTTGATTTGGATTTGTTGACTTTTATGAGAAAAAAAGTGTAATGATATGGGTTGGATGTGATATTTTATCTTATTAACTTATTTAACCTATTTTGTCATTTTATGTTTTTTTAGTCCCAAAATAATAAGTAAGCCAGGACTTAGTATACATAGAATTATACCTTTAATATTTGAGTTGGAAATCTCAAAAATGAAAATTTTTAAAAAAAATATGTAGATAAAACTATTTATTTTATAGTAATTTGATAATTTTTAGGTAAATTATAAATATATTTGCTGAGATTTGTATAAATACAAATTGTTTCCCATAGTTTTGAAAATTACAAATATTACCTTATCATAATTTTTATTTAATATAATTAATAGAAAAAATAAATTTTCTAAATACTCTCTATACAACAATAAAATTATCTAAATTTTTAATAAAAGTATATTTCTGATGTCATTAAAAAAAGTTAATTGATTTGATAATTTCTTAATAAAATAGACCATTTCTTATGTAATTAAAAATTTAAAGGGACGAAATATAATATCTAAAGCCACAACAGACAATTTATATTTTAAACAAACCTCAGGAAGTGTATTTATATTTTATTCTATTTTTTTTTTTTTTTTAGATTCTTAGCTTTACTCATTTTATAATTAACCACCACTTATATTTTAAAGGGCAAATTACCTACACTTCCCCTGAGCTTTAACTAAATTACAAATTTTTCCTGAAATTTTAGAAATTACATCCCCTTTAAGGTTTATATTCGCATAACAATTTAACCCCTACCATTAACTAAACGTTAAGAATGGATAGCTGACATCACTAAAATATAAATTGATATTGTCGCTGCTAAGATCCCTTTGATAAATCAACAAAATTTACAAAAGAATTACATTAGATGAAAAAAAAAAATTTAAGTTTTTGAAACCATGTTTGATTTATTGTTTAGGAAAAAAAAAAATTCAGAATTTAAAAATAAAATAAAAAATAATTTAATAAAAATAAATATGAAAAAATATATTTAATTTGTAAAAGTTATATCTAACTAAAATTATATAAAAATAATATTTATTTCTTATTTCTTATTTCTTAACCAAATTAATTTTTATTTTTTTTAAAAAAAATTAAAAATAAATTTCTAAAAAATCAAACCAAATATATTGTAAGAATTTTTTGACAAGTCATTTCTTGTGTTTTTAACTTATTTAATTATTTGTTAATTTTATAATATTTTTACCATCAAATACCACAACATATAAGAGTCTTAGAGACCAATTTTTTTTTATCTCTAAAAGTGAAAATTTTGTTGCAAAAGACATTTAGAGACTAATTTCTATTGTTATAAGGATGGTAGCTAAAAAGTCGTCCTAAAAAGTCAAAAATAAGACTTTTAACGATAAAATTTTGAAAATTTCAATAATAAATAAACTTTTAGAAACAAAATAATTTGGTCTCAAAATGGTTTATTTTTTTAGATAAAAAATTTGGTACCAAAAAAATAATAATTAATCACTAATGTTCAATTTTCGTTATTAAAAATATAATAACGACACTTTTTGCAACAAAAATATTTGGTCCCCTAAAAATAATTTTTTTCCTAAATTTTGGTCTCTAAACCTTAATTTTTTGTAGTGTGATAAGTGTTTTTCTATTTAAATTTTGTATTTCTTAACTTATTTAAAAATGATAATTTACCTAAACCTTAGGGAGAATTTGTAATTTAGCTAAACCTCAGGGAGGAATCTGTAATTTAGCTAAACCTTAAGGGGGTGTAGGTAATTTGTCCTTATTTGTCAAAATGGCATTTTAGTCAATTTATGATATCCATTAACGACGTTAATTGTAATTTTTGAGACCTCATGGGGAATATATAATTGCGTTAAACCTCAAGAGAGGTGTAGGTAATTTGCCCTATTTTAAAATTATTAAATTTAAAAATAAGGGTCTGTTCTATTGTATTTTTTTTGTTTGTTTGTGTTTTTTAAAATAAAAATAAAAAATTTTGAACACACTTTTTTTTTAAGGGTTTTTTTAAGGTCCCTGGTATTAACATTTTATAGCATAAAGGACATCAAATATTTTCATAATATCTAAGATCCCTCAAGTTGATCCAGAGAAAATTGGTCCAGAGAAAATTAGTCTAGAGAAAATTGATCTAGAGAAATTTCAGAGAAAATTCAAATTTCTCTAGGTTCAGTTTGACCAATTTTCTCTATTTCTCTGACCTTCCAGAGAATTTTTCAGATAAAATTTATACAATGGTCAAAATCCCAAAGAATTTCTTTGGATAGAAATTTTTTGACAAACTAATTACTACCAAATCTGTGAAATGAAAAAATTCATTCTGCACTCTCCTTATGATAATTTATATATAAATGAGTCAAAAACATAAACAAAAAGTCACATTACCCATGATAATAGAGAACTCCCTTCAACCAAAACCGAATCTGAAAGCAAAATACTTGATCCAAATCTTCACATCATCTGATGCAACATAAGTCCTTGATTAGCCAGCACCAACAAGAGAAGATGGAATAGTTGCTGAAAAAATGTAGTCAAAACCAGAAGGAGAATAAAAATGTAGAACAAGGGATGAGAAAATCCTTCAATTGTGAATATATATATATATATATAGATATATAACTATGACTGCCAATTAGGTGGAATGGAAGAAAAGGGAATGAAAGGGAGAAGGTATAGAGGAAGCTGCTGTGAGGAGGGAGGGAAAGAAAATGGAAGGAAAGGGAGAAGATATGGAGAAAGCTGCTGTGAAAATTGAAAAGGAAAGGGAGAAGGTTGGTCTAGAGAAAATGAATGAAGAATTTCTCTGGGTTACTCTAAGCCAGAGAAATTCTTTCAAAATCAATGAAATTCTTAAAGAAACATTTCCAGAGAAATTCTCTTTAATCCAGAGAATTCCTTTCCAACTCAGAAAAATTCACAAAAACTCAAAAAATTTCAAAAAAATCACAAAAACCCAGAGAAATTTCCCTTGCATGATTTCCTTAAAAACTCACTTCAGATTGATGTCCATGGAATTTGAATGATGGATAGGCAGACAAAACACAGGTGTGAAAACTATGAACTGCAAGTCGGCACAGAGAAAATTCATATGTCCAGAGAAAATTCACTGTCCAGAGAAAATTCATCAACGTCCAAGGGGCATCACGATCTCAGAGAACACACTTCAAATTTGCAAAGCATAAATGTTACAGACAATTTCATCAATGTCCAAGGGGCATCACGATCTTAGAGAACTCAATTCCAAGAGTTGCATCTGAGTTATTCCCTGTGCCCATTGTGGCGATGTGAAAATCCATGTTGTTTAGTACTTCAACCTTACCTGTTTCGACACCAGTTTGAAGTTTCAAAGGCAACTCTAGGTTCCAGAGAACCTCACCCATAGTCGGCCTCTCTATACTATGTTTGGCTAAGCAATTCATGGCAATTTCCAAAAACTTCACAAATGACTCTTGATGTTGTTCCTTTCATACTTGTGTCTACAATCTGGTCCGCGGTACCATTATGGAGGTGAGATGATACCCACTCTACTAAGTTTGCATCTTCCTCTTCTGCTACGGGATTCATTACCGACTTCGCAGAAAGCACTTCTAGCAGTACCACACCAAATGAGTAAACATCTGCCCTGTGATCCGGAAGTCTCTGTAGCACGTGGAGCACAAGTTCATCGTCGCCGCTGCGCCGAAGAAGCCACACCCATTGGCGTGAGATCACAAACAGCGCATTCGAACCATCTTCTATGATGGTGAAATGCGATCCTCGCCATGGCAAATACATGGCTTGTTGTCTGATGTACAGAGGCGATGTGGTGCCCAAAGACGTGAATGCTGCGGTGGCAACCATCTGAGGAAGATGTTACCTGCCAGAGCTCTATTGCCTAATGAAGAACAGCTCAATTACTCCATCGCGATTGAGTACGACACCCTCCTGTGCCCTACCAGGTCCCCAAGGTCGATCCATTGGGCGTCGATTCCATCTCCATTTGCACCACTTCAATCGTTTCCGTTTCCAAATGCGTACCAGTTGTCCCTGTTGCTGTCCCGACCTTCGATAGTTTCGAGACAAAGAGTCAAATTTCTCTGATACATATTTAGGGACCTTAGACATCAAAAAATAATTCTGTGGATCTCTTCCATTACGAAAAGTAGGAGAGGGACCTTTGGCCAATTTTTCCTTTTTTTAATTGTGAAAATAGTTTTTTTCTTTTTTAAATTTGAAAATGACTTTTTGATATTTCTTAAAATGTGAGTTGTTTTTTTAATTTTTAAAAATATATATATAATTTTAGAAACAATTCACCAAATAAATTTTGTATTTGGGTAAATTATACTAATCATCTGTAAATTCAACATAATTGTGTGAGGGTTCAAGAAATAGTTTCGAGACAAAGAGTCAAATTTCTCTGATACATATTTAGGGACCTTAGACATCAAAAAATAATTCTGTGGATCTCTTCCATTACGAAAAGTAGGAGAGGGACCTTTGGCCAATTTTTCCTTTTTTTAATTGTGAAAATAGTTTTTTTCTTTTTTAAATTTGAAAATGACTTTTTGATATTTCTTAAAATGTGAGTTGTTTTTTTAATTTTTAAAAATATATATATAATTTTAGAAACAATTCACCAAATAAATTTTATATTTGGGTAAATTATACTAATCATCCGTAAATTCAACATAATTGTGTGAGGGTTTAAGAATGTTGTCGAAAAATTCGAAGCCTCGCCAGAAAATTCAAAAATCTTGGAAGATCACTGGAAAACTCGAATTCTCTAGAAATGGTGAGAGGTTTAGATTCTTTAACGATCGCAACTAGAAACACAATAGTAAAGAAATGATAGAGATAAGAGATTGGGTGAAAAATAAGGCAAAGTAATTAAAGAGAGAATAATGGTAAGGCTCACCTATGGATCTCCCATTTTCACTCTCAAGGTAGATAATGAAGAGGGAAAATTAGTTATCTCCCAAGAATTGTCTCTCTAAAAATTCATCCCTTGTAAAGTTATTGGTGGGTACTATTTATAGACACCTCATGATGTAGGATGGAGCTCATGTGCAAGGCACATAGGGAATATTTTCTCTAACTACCTAGTCTGAGGAGATGACCTCTCCGAGGATAAGGAAAACCCCGAAGAGGAGATCAACCTATCGGCGAGCCCTTCTTCTTAGCTACACCTAATCAATGATCTCTAATCATCCCAAAGGGTCAGGGGTAGTCCCAGAGGATGCCTTGCCATAGAAGGGTCGGGGGTAGTTCAAGATAACGCCTTACCGCAAATATTGTCGAGTCTCATAGACCTTCTAGATTGTGCCACCTCGACTCGGGTATAGGCTAGTTTAACTAAATAGTGAATTTATCTCCACTCACCGTCCTCAGGATCGAGTCCTTTGTTCGGACTCCATTACGTCTGTGGTTCTGGTATGTAGATCCTGGAAAGCTCCGTGCCTACAAGTATTCTAAGACTTATTAATGTAGCAGCTTTTAGATTGCGTCCGAATCCGTTTGAAGCAAGCACTTCAGATCTTTAGATTCATGGATCCGAATCCTTTTGAGTTCAAGTTCAAATAGGTTTCTAGATTCGTGATTCTGAAACCTTTCAAGGCTATAGCAATTTGGCCCATTCAATGATGATATCTCTAGTCCTACTAATTTTATGGTTTTTGATTGGGCTCTGATTGAGCTTAATCAATGAGATGGGCTCGAGTTAACCCTTCTTAGAATAATTATATTGATTTCTCTTAAAGTTATGAAAATATAATTAATACTAATTTTTGCAATTAATTTTATGGATGAAAATATATAATTCAGTGTAAATTTTAAAAAGAAAATTACAAATTTTATGTATTAAATTTTAAAATTCAATTTTTTTTAATATATTTGTAAATAATTTTTCAAATGACCACTTAATTGTAATTTCTCTTAAAATTATAATTTTCCCATGTTGTCATAAGTCGATATTTATTTTGTTTAACCCTTTTTGGACTATCCTATGACCTGAACAACCACACAAAAAAAACAAAACAAAACAAAAAAAAACAAAATAGAGTAACTTACATTAATTATACTCATTTTTTTAAAGAAAGATTAAAAAGACTCAATTAATACAGATAGTATAAAAATAAAAATATATACAAGATATAACATATATTTTATGTGAGAGATGATAATATTATTTTTTTCATCTATATAAATAATGAATTCTTGATGAAAATAGCTTACGTGTTGTATGAATTAAAATTTTAAGAAAACCAAATATAATTATTTCAAACTTGTGAGACTTATTGTATTTTTATCTGACTTCAATTGAAGTAAGTGTAATTTATCCAAACAAACACGGTGGTTCACAATCTTCTACTGATCTGGGATTGTCCAGCAGACTGATCCAATAAATTGCCAAATTGATAAAAATAAAATAAAATAAAAATTAAGAAAATAGTTAATGTATCAAATAATAAACTCAATATACACTCAAAAGGAACCCCAAACCAACCCATATCCTATATCACAACCATTCCCAATGAAAAAAGATACGCCATATTTTGTTGACACTCACCTACAATAACTAACACTGCCTGTGAGGAAAGAGATCCCACATCGCGAGCTAAAATTTTCAGCACTTTCTGCACCCTCTACCATGGTCCCTCTGACCATCAGAATGGCCACAACACAGAAGAAGAGGCTTATCTATACACCGTTATGACTCTGCATATCCTTCACTATTTCTTCAATCAGATATCCGGTAATCTGGGATTCCATCTCTTTCCCCACAGCATCAATGTCATCATTCCATCAACCCTGACCATGTGGTGAACCCTAGATCTTCGGCCACCATATCATCAAGCCAGTAATGAAATTTATCTGTTGGAGGGTATAGATGTGCATGAACAATCTCCCATGCACGATCCAATAACTTCTGTCCACGTGGAGGACGTAGTGCAGGACCAATAGCCTTTCTGAATCTAGACATGGTCACAGGTGGTCCAAGTACAACTGAGAGTGCTTCATTTAACAAATCAAGTAACAACTTGTGATCTCTTCTGGACCCTTCATTATCCTTGGTCATTTTCTTGTAAGACTCTTCTACTGCTTCAAAGATGTCGTTGGTTATAGGCTTTGCTAGTGGGTCCCATCTTGATAAAACGTTGTCAGATGAATCATCGTACAGACCTGAAGCAACAAGCAAGTCTTGGATGTAAGCTTCTGCTTCATCCTCTAACCCTGCCATTTCAGTTTCCAAGGGCTGCTCTTCGGTGACTGTCTCCTTGGGGCCATCAGCATCAAGTTCATTCAGTTGCCTCCGCAGCTCTGCATGATCATTAAGCATAAGATGTCACCAAATCTCTCAAAAGCAGCTGCAGTTTCGTAATTAAGTGCCACAAACAAAATTATCTTTGATAAACTCAAGATTTATTTCTCAGGACACCAAATAAAGTATCACGATAATTTCCAGGGTCAAAAACAGGAATGGAGGCACCATTCAAAACCATATTTTACTCCAGCATAGGCCCAACCATATGTGATTATCTTCCTCCTTTTTCTTCTTCTTCTTCTTCTTTGAATTAACCCCTATTCAACCCCCAAACATCATAGTTCCTTAACCTTAGCACCCTAGCTTACAAAAAATATACATCACAAATCCAGTTACTGATCTCGAATACTGCTCAAAGCACTAGAAAAACCCATAAACAGTGCTAAAAATTATGTACTTTCATGCTTAAACCCTCACCTTTATTACCCCAATCAACCCCTTGAAGCCCCTATTATTATTTTACTAAGCTTTCAACCATGAAACCCAATTACAAAGCATCCACAAAAGCCTACTTTTCTGCTGCATCATATCAGTTTTGGTCTCATTATCTATTCCAGGACAGGCTTAAGTTTTAAGAATGAGAACTGAATTTCTTTCACACTTGTGTATTATTCAAGTACAGTTCAGTTTAACATTGCCTTGCCATGTAGGTTGTACAAAACACTAGTTAAAAACATCATGAATATTCGGATGATCCATATGATAGGTGGTAATTTAAAGAAATATGCATTATGGCTTTGCAATATTCAAGTAAGCCTACACGCATGTGCCAAAGCCATCATTGGACAAATGAACAAAGTGCAATTGAAAATTAATAGTCAAGCAATAAAAATCAGCAATGCAGGACCAAAGTTCATAACCAGAAGACTATTCCAAACTTTTCATTAAAAAGCTACAGAAACATAATTTATTCGCATACCATTTAGATTAGAGCTGATCTCTCTGAAAACCTGAGGCAGCATGACATCTTCTAGCGGAGATAGATCTGATGTTGATGTTGAACTAAAATGATCTGCTGCCCTCCATAACTCCTCGTAAACACTGCTGCACACTGATGCAGGGCTTGGTGGAACCTCAGTAAAGTTCTCCTGAAACAACAAGATATAATGTGATTAAAGAATAACCACAGGCCAACAACCAATGAAACGCAGTCAATTCACAATTTTCTTATTGTCTCTATATAAAACAATCCTTACATGCCTCTCTCTAAAGTTCAACATAACTGTTGGTCCACTCATGATATCTTCCATGGGATCACATTCATACATATGTGGCTCCTCTGCTGATAGAATCTTTCTGCCAAACAGACTCCCTCTAAGAGAGAAATTGTATTTCAAGCTGGAAACTTTTTCTTTCAAATTGGACCTTTCCTTCTTCCTTTTTCTTACATCCACTGTTACTCTTTCAACAACTTCATGCTTCCTCCTGATTTGTGCCCCAGTTAAGATGTGGCGGTCCTCTAGAAGTAGCTTCCCAAATGATGTTCCTGATGATGCTGGGGCTGACATAGATCTAATGAGGCTCCTAGGAGACAAATCTCTATGATGCATTGCGTCACCATCGTTCCCTTGTCTAAAAGATCTGGTTTGCATTTCTGGTTCATCTTCTACAGTGTCCCAGCAGTTCAACTTACCTCCAGCCTTCAAGTTACCTACCGATTGTTCCAGCCTGCCCCTTCTATTATCTAGCATGGAAGAGTTTGAGCTACCACAAGCAACTGTGGGAATATGCAGATTTGTTTCCCCCTTGAGAACGTTCCTCAGCCTCTCTGCTAAGAGTCTCCTAGTATCTTTGTTGATAAACTCAGGAGAACCTGGTCCATCATACTGAATCTCACTTCTGTAAGATCTTGTAGATTCTGATCTAGGCAAATTCATTCCAAGATCCCTAGTAACACTATCTCTGACCTGTTTCGCTATACATTGAGCTAATTGTTTTGGATCTGATGGGTTTTCACTATAAGGGTTCTCATTTCCACCTCTTCTAACCATGGTTCCCCTTTTAATTTTCCCTTGAAGCTCGCATTTTAGCCTTGCCTTTACCTCCTCAAGAAAATCTTCTATACCACCTCTCTCTTCTGAAATGCCTGAGGAACTAACCCACGACTCTTCATTGTCACTGATCTGCTCAGGGCCAGGCCTCAGGATCACTATCCTTGTTGGAGCAGAAGATATATCCAGCTTCTGGTCGGAATTAATCAGAGATGGCTGCTCAAAATCTCTAATTAGGGTTCGGTTCCTTGAAGAATATGATTCCTTCTGCTCAGATGGAAAAAGTTCCTTCCTAAATCCATGATGTTGCAACCCACTTTCACATGGGCTTGCTTTTACTGCATGACCCATAAAATCTATAGGCTTCTCACTTGCTGTAATTCTTCTTGAATTTGAATAGAGAGCAACCTTTTCCTTGTTGAGGGCTTCTTGAGCAAGCCACTGGCTAGGAATTCTGTCAAGTTCAACAACCTTTGAGCATTCCCTGATCCTTACTGCTTGACATGCTACAAATTCTTTCTTAAACTTCTGTAGTTCCTCCTCTTGAGGATGTTCTCGTGACCTTGGCTTTTTCAACTTCACGTGAACATGGTGACTATCAGGATCATTGTCCTTGTTACGTTGAAAGGAATTAAACTCCATCTGTCTAGAAGAATTTGAGTTACAATGGACATGGCCACCTGAGCCTTTTTTATTCTGATCCTTCTTATGCAAATTGGTTCCTGTCTTTTGATTCTTTTTTCCATCCTGCCGAGCTACAGATTTTGTATCTAATGATAACATATCCATTCCCATCAGACGGGCCACAACACTCGGTACATTTCGTCCGGTGTTTGGTCCTTTGGACATTTCTTCACTGATCAACATCTTCATTGAAGCCTCAGTTGGATAAGAGTTCTCGCACCACTCATGTTTGACTTCATAAGAGTACTGAAAAATTCGTATATAGAAATAAGAATCAAGAAAGACACCTGCAGAGAGAGAGAGAGAGACACACACACACACACAACACACATGGAGAATGATAGAACAGAGAACATTGACTATTGGAACTTGGAACTGATATTAAGAAGCACTCCTGTATCATGCTACAAGGATGAGTAATGAGTACAAAACATTTGTTCAGTGTAGAAAAAATAAAAAAAGCAAACAAGACAAAAGTTCAATAATAACAAACTGTTTTATACAAAGATTTGGATTTAAATAATGTCGCTGACAAAAAATATATACATGGGAGAAGATTAACAAACGTATCAAAACAGAAAGAATTTGAGTTCATTGAGAAAAGGGCTTCTTAATCTACCAACCAAAATAGACAGCGACAACAGAAATTAACCTCTTCAAAGATGATAAATATCATCAAAATAGTGACAATTATTGATAGAAAAAAAATTTCCAAACCTGATGCGATTTATCCAAAGAGTACTATAAAAACTCAGGAATTGTTATTTTAGTATTTTTCTACTAATATAACAACATTCAATTTTACTTTAACAATAACCATTTTGGCTTGAACCCTTAATTTCTTGTTTGGAAATTTCATCCAAGTACAATTTGCACTGCACAATGGTAATTGTAAAAGTTTCAACCCCAAGTTTTATTTTATTTTATTTTTGGTGAGCCATCAAAGTGTTTGTAAAACCTCAAAACAAACTTCCTTCCAACAAGAGCTGTTGCCCAGTTCTTGTGAGCCTACACTAAAAAGAATCGGGTCAAGCAATCTCTTAAAATGAACACCATGAGCTAGAGCAACAATAAATCCCTTCTTTCTGAAGAATGCAGAGAGTAAACTGCAGTTTGAACACTTCAAATACAGTTTACATCAAAAGCTAACATCCTATCCTCTCTTAGTCACAAAATAACGACAAGAAATAGTAAACCGTTCAAAGGTTCCACCCCATAAACATAGTATAAAGCTCAAATAAAATAAGGTAAGCGATGATATTATTACCGGGATATTGTCTCCAACAGCGTAATAGCTCTGCGAAGTTTCTACTGGAAGCTCCAGGCTGTTTTGAGGAGCCTCTAAGCCTGTATAGTTGTATCAGCATCATTACCCTACTAATTTAAAAAGCACAAAAGAGATTCAAATGGAAAAATGTGTTTCAA